ATATTGTAGAAACAAATGTTGATCCATTATCAGCTACAAATATTAGCATATCAGAACAAGAACTTTTGAGAAAATTCTGCACAAAAATAAATAAGTTTCAGTGTATTCTTTGTCCTGTATGTAATAAGCACTTCCTATCTATAGTGCTTGTTAATAATATGTGCCGCCGGTATAATACTGAAACAACTTTGCCAAAAAAGTTTTCTGCTGAAAATAATATGGATCCAGGTGAAATACCTCATGAGCTTAAAGGTTTGACTGAAATAGAAGAAATGTTAATAGCACAAGTTTTTACTGTAATGTTAGTATATAAACTTCGTGGAGGACAATATAAATATAAGGGAAATGTTATAAACTTCTCTCAAAATATACAAGAGTTTACAACACAACTTCCTCAACATCTATCAACATTAAATATATTAATTATTCGTTGGCAGTCAGTTAATGATCCTACTGCATTTAGAGATTTTAAAGTTCGTGTAATGTTGTAGCAAATGCACTATACTGGTTAAAGAAAAATAATCAGTATTATGCTGATATTACTATCAACAATGAAGTTCTTGAATCTTTACCTCAAAAAGGTTATATTGATGACCAACTTTCACAATTTCAAACTAGTCAAACAACTGATGATTTGAATAATGAAAATGATTATAGAAATGTTATACGTTTTTTTGTACCTTATCTTCCACCAACTAATCGTGAAAAAGTTGCAATTAATAGTGCTCTTGAACGTATAAAGTCTGAAAACTCACCTATATTATGGCCACAAATTGTTAGCTCTCGTATTAATGAATTTCAAACAGCAGGATATATTACACATATATTTCCAACTCTATATCTAACAGGCAATGCTGACTTTCATATGGAATGTGCTAAAGATGTCAAACCAGCAGAATATTTTAAACACCTGCTTTAATTTAAAGATGGAAGATTTGCACAGCATACTCGTTAGTGTTATTTTGCATTAAATTCTCAGATGCGATGAAGAGCATTGCAAGAAAGAAAAATTTATATTAGAAAAGTTTAAATGATGACCAGCTTACTGTTACAGATATTTAAAATATAATCGCAAATGGTGATGCACATATGGCAGACTGAATTATGCAATTTGGAATAGGTTTGCGTGGATCTCGGCAGTTTTGGAATGCTCGACGATGTGAATTATTAGATATGATAAAGCAATTAGGTTCTCAAGGGTTGATTTTTTTACCTTTAGTGCTGCTGATTTGCATTGGCCAGAACTTTATGAACTTATACAATCTCTAGAAAATTCTGTGGAAGAAGAAAATAATTTTTAGAATATCGTCGTCAAAATATTATTAATAACCCTCATATCACTGTCTGGTTTTTTAATAAACGGTTTGAAATTTTCTTTAACGATGTACTAAAAAAGTGATAGGACCTAGAAGATTAGTAGTACAGATTTGAGTGGCAACATTGTGGTAGTGTTCATATACATGGTATTGAGAAAAAATAAATGCATCTATTATCGAATAGAAACAAATAAAAGATGATGAACATAAAATGAATCAAATAATTCAATATCTTGATTCACTTGTTACTACGATTAATCCAGGTCTTAATACACCAATACCTGACCATCATCTATGCCAGAAACGCAAGGAAGAAATACATGATGACTTACAAGATTATATCGATTTGATTAACAAGCTACAACGACATACTCGATGTAGTCCTGCATATTGTATTTATGTTAATCGAGCAGGTCAACAACTTTGTAGATTTGGATTTCCTAAAGAAAATAATGAGCATTTCTTTTTGCATGAAGATAAATGTGGAGAACCAGAACTTGTAACAGCAAGAAATGATTCATATATTAATCCACATAATCAGCTTCAATTACAGAGCTGGCATGCAAATATTAACATTAAACCAGTTCTAAGTACTCATGCAGCCTTGCAGTATATTTCTAAATATGCAAGTAAAGCAGAGCCACGTTCTGCTACGTTTTCTGAAATATTAAATCAAATCATATCAAATAGTAGGTCTGATGATTCTATGCTATTAGTAGCTCAAAAATTACTGATACATAGTGTTGCAGAATGTGATATTTCAGCACAAGAGACTTGTCATCTTCTTCTTAGTATGCCACTTTATTGTTCAAGTAGATCGTTTATTTCTCTAAACCTAAACAAAGAAGCATCACGATGGCTTCGTGGTACTGGTAGTGAGGAAGGTAATGAATTTACATACATTACAAATACAGGATTAATATCATGATCACCTTTAAAAATATATTGTGAAAGGCCAATAGAGTTTGAAAACTTTTTACTATTTAAATTATATTTAACACACAAATTTGTTAATGGTCGTTGGTTTAAATCTACAAAAGAAAATATTATACGTATATAGCTATGCCCATCACCTTTACGTCATAGTCCTCAATGGAAAGAATTTTGTCGAATTAAAGTTCTTCTTCATGTTAAGTATCGATGCATTCAGCAGTTAACTGAAAATGGTGCTATAGAATGGTCAAACTTATATAGTCTTTATCTTGAAGAGATTAATTCAGATGCAATGGATTTGCTTGGTTCACCTGTAGATGAAATAGAAGATGAGACTATTGAAGATGAAGAAGATTTAAATAGACAAATTGAAGATGAGGAGGATGAAATACAAATTGATTGGATGCAATTAGCAGGAATGGGACCAAATATAATTATTAATCATTTCTCTGAATTTGGATCTCATAATATGGATCTTAATTTCGATTGATCAATGATATAAAACAATATTATTCTAATGCTGATCTTATAGATGCTGATACATTTTTACGTAGAGCTTCAATCAGTTCTAGAGTAGAAAGATGTGAAAATGAAGTTATGGATACTGTGGATTATCTAACTTTAAATGAAAATCAAAAAAAAATTTTTAAACAAATAGAACAACATTATAAAAGTATAATTTCTGGTTGTCAAGTTGAACCATTAAGAATTATTATTATGGGAACAGCAAGAACTGGTAAATCATATCTTATTAAAGCAATTAGAGGTAGACTTTGTGAAATGGCAAAAATTAAATCTGAACCGCCAATACTTGTACTTGCACCAACAGGTGTTGCTGCTTAATATTCAAGGAACAACAATTCACTCAACACTTTGTATTCCAATACAAAGTAATAATTTTGATATGAATGGTGAGCAGTTAAAGCAACTACAAAACAAGTTACAAAATGTAAAATATTTAATTTTTGATGAAAAAAGTATGATTGGTTGTCGAATACTCAATTTGATTAATATACAGTTGCAACAAGCTTTTCCTGAACATAAAGATGAACTATTTGGTAGTCGATCTCTTATTCTTTTTGGTGATTTTGGTCAGCTTCCACCTGTACTTGACCTTCCTATGTATGCAACTAATATTTCACGACCCATTATTTAATAATGGTATTGTAGTATATAGTCAGTTTCGTGAAATATATAAACTTGATATTATTCAATAGCAATCTGAAGATTCTAGAGAACAACAAGACTTCAGAAACATTCTTTTATAATTGCATAATAGAGAATCTACAATAGAAGATTGGAGAATGCTTACTACACCATTGAAGAAAAACAAAATAGAACTAAACGTAATCAATTTTCAGAAGCAATGTTTATATTACCAAAAGGGTCTGATATTGATGCAATTAATATAGATAAGCTTGGATCTTTAAACTATCCTATTGCCAAAATTCTTGCTGTACATACTGGTGATCAGGAAGCAAAAAAAGCTGATTCTGATGTTGCAAAAGGTCTTGAATCACAACTTTTGCTAGCTAAAGGTGCACAGGTTATGTTAACAGTAAATTTATAGACAGCAGCTGGATTAGTAAATGGATCAATAGGAACTGTTCATAATATTTTGTATAATGAAAATGGACCACCTAGTCTTCTTGTAGCAGTCTTTATCATATTTGAAAATTACAAAGGTCCTACAATTACAACTTTAGACAATGTAAATGTTGTTCCGATTATACCTGTTCAACATACTTGGGAAAGTAAAGCTGGAATTTTATGTTCACGAATGCAGATCTCTGTTTGCCTTGCCTGGGCAATTACAGTACACAAGAGTCAAGGACTTACTCTTCCGAAAGCTGTAATTGATCTTGGAAAAAGAGAGTTTGCTGCAGGTCTTTTATTTGTAGCAGTGTCTAGAGTTCGAGCTCTTACTGATATTCTTTTTAAGCCTTTTAGTTTTGAAAGACTTCAGCAAATTAAAAATTGTAAACGATTATCAGAAAGAAAGGCTGAAGAAGAACAATTAGTGTCCTTAATATCTAAAGAATAAATCATGTAATAGTTAGCTCAATACAAATAGTAATAGTAGAAATTTTAATACTTTTCTGATCTATATGTATGCAATTTACAGTGAACATAACTTTTAATATCATATACTGTATATATTTTTATAAAAAAAAACTGTAAATTTTATTAAATACCATCTCTCAAATAAAATATATATATCACATAACATCCGCATGTATATTGTTTATATAATATATGATTAAACTACTGCCCTTCAAGATCAAGTTTAACGTAAAATCAAAATTAACACACATTTTACAAAAAAAAATTTAATTAAAAAAAAAACTTTTGTAACAAACAAAAAAAAATATTACTTAAAAAGTTTTATAACAGACATTAAATTAAAAAATTTTAGAACAGACACTAAATTATTTTGGCTATATGTATTGTTTTTTTATGCTCCAGACTTACACCGGTTCCCGGTTCCTAGTATAATTAAATTAAAGTGTATAATTAAGAAGTAAAAAATCTATTCGTTATTTAAAGAAGATGGTATTAATATATATAATCGACTTGTTATTTAAATATTTATAAATTTAAATGTATAGTACAATTAAAAATTAAAATAAATAATAGTAAATCACCTTGATTAATGCTTTAAATTCATTATCTAAAGTTTTTTGAAGCTGATAATACCCATGAGATCTATCAATAGTTGACAAAAAAACATTTTTACTGGCCCTCGCAGAAAGTCACCAAGTTCGAATTAAGCAATTAATAACTTCAGTTTTGTGATCAAGATTCAACCGAGCCTTTGTCTCATCTAAAAAAGCAGACTTAATATCACCAATTGTTAAAAAATGGTTTAATATAAAAGGAAGTATCATTAAAAGGCGCAAAATGTCTGACATCATAAATGAATGTCTATGAGAAATTAAATTTGGTAAACGCATCCATCTGACCGGGACTTCAAACTGTTTCCAATATTTAAGGACATTACTTTCACCTAGTTCTGTTAAAATAAAACAAGTGCAATTAAGAAGCCATGCTATTTTTCCAGCAACAGCGTAATATGCATCTTGCGGCATATATTGATGACGGTCATGAAGAATGGAATCAAGTAGACCTGGTAATAATCGTAATCCATACTGTGAAGTAAGTTGTAATCATGCTGATTTTGTTTGTTGTTCATTTATATTTTTGAATTTCTGATCAGTTAGTTGATGATATTGACTATTTGAATATATATCAAATGTAATGTTTGTTAATTCATTTTTAGAGGCTTTACAACTACGGTATCTGAAATTTGCATTGTGGCGCAGCACTCCGTAATATCATTCCCCTGTGGTAAATCAGCTGTAACCATAGCCAACCCACCTGAAATCCAGCAATCAACACCATTTATATTCATTATGAAACCTTGCTCAAGTTGTCAAACTTCCTCAATAAAAACTTTTATAAAATCTCTAAAATTTCTGCCAAAGGGTACTAGTTCTATTATAAAGTAATTTCTAAGTTTTTTCTTAATCGTCGTGGCATATTACCGATCTGCAAATAGATGCCACCTAAAGTATGACAGGTATTTCTAAATGTGCCAAAGTCATCATGATATAAATCCAAATAAAACCTAAGGACTGGCATATTTGAATTTGTTGGTTATATAATAGGTACGTGCTCAGAGGGATGTTGGTGATGAAATTTTATTGAACGAAACTTCCATCTGCCATTATAATTATAGAGTATTTTGCTGACAAAAAAATCAACTTTAGGTAAAACAGGCTGATCCTTGAGCCAGACGTTTAGACAACAAATTAATTTTGAAAGGTGAATAATAAAGGGTTCCGATTCTTCAACCAAGTACAATTCTTGTGATGAGTATAGTACATGTAGTTTTAAACGTAGGCGTTGCTGAACTTGCTCGTAAGAAAACAATCGTTAAATCCATGCCGCTATTGTTTTATCTACAATGACAAAAGATCTGATTCGACCAACTTCAACAGTTCCTAAAGCTGAGTAGTATTTAACAAAATCTCCACAGTTAAATGAGCCTTAATAAAAATTATTTAATAAATTATATAAAATATAATGGAAACAATTAGAGTTATAAACTTACAACATAACCTACACAATAACTTAAATGATTTTAAAATATTTGACTAAGCGAACATATAAAATTGCTTGTAAGTTGCATCATAAGTTATATTATAAAATTGAAATTATTTTAAGTTTTACAACCCTAGAAACAATAAGACTAATCTTTTAATATCTTGCACCATAATTAAGTTTGGCAGACCAAAGAGAGGAGATTTGGCCCAGAGATCCCTCTCTCATAATTCTTCACATAATTTCAAAAAAATACCCAGCCCAAAATATAAATGGAAACTAAGAGATGGGTTTTTTAATATGTGCTGAATATGCTCAATTAGAGAAAATAATAAATGTGTGTTGAATCTCTAGATGTTGATGGTGTGTTCTTGGTATTTATCGGAACTATATGACTTTGAATCTTCATTAGTGGTAACCGCTCACGTTGTTTTTTAAGACACTGTAAGTTGGTAGTTAGATGCTTTTTTTGAATAGAGGATGAAGCACAATTTGTATTAAGTCTTGATATGCCGCAGTCTCTAAAAAAGATCGATTTTTATATAAATAAAATGTGGAGGATTAAAATAAGTTTTTGTATAGTGAAATAGACAAGCCACAGAAAAATATGAAACTTGAGATGCATTTTTTTTAGCATTTTTTTTTTTTAGCATTAGGAAGATAAAATTTGTAGTAAACAAGTGGGATTTAGGATGCTAAATAGAAGCTTCAAATTTCGAATTCATTATAATCCACGACAATAAGTAAATTACTTGCAAATATTGTGTCTAGTAACCCATGTAAACATGGCCATATTCGTGAAATTTTCAAAAATACCAAATAGGCACTCGTGATTGCAATTTATGTTGAATTTCATTCCATCAAACGTCTTTGGTGCATTATCCATATCAATTGATATTGATTCACTTTTGTCACAACTATCACTATCCATATTTTTGCTAAATTCATTATATATGTTTTCTAGATCGCTATTACTCAAGTTATCATCAAATTCCTGATTACATTCCATATCGTCCATATCATATAAGTTGCCACTACTCTTATTTTGGTCGCTATAATCTTGATCTATATTTCTATGGTAAGATTGTTGGTCGCTATATTCTTGGTCGCTATATTCTTGGTCGCTATTTTCATGATATGATTGTTGGTTGCTATATTCTTAATCGATTTTTCCATAGTTAGATTGATGGTTATCATTAATTTGATTAAGCTCATTACTAGAAATACATGATTGGTTTGTATATTCAAATTATTGTAATTCAGGCCTCCTACGAACGTGTAATCGCTTAAGTAAATTTTTTTGGAATGTATATGTAGATTGTAAAATTGCTGTGGGATGCTTTTTTTGAATCTATTTTCACGAGAAAACATTTAAAAGATGATTAATGGAGATAAACTAAGGTGTGTTTGTGAGCTAGAATAATTTTTTTAATACTGTGACACTATAAATATTCGGGTATCGAGCTTTGAAATTATGAGGGAAAAAAGAAAAAGATCAAGGTTTATTTTTTTGCATTTTCTTTTATACTGATTTATAATGACGTAATGGTAATAATTTCAAGTGGAGTTTAAAAATATAATTATAGATAAATTCAATTTACAAGTTATTTTACGAAATTATCATTCAACGTCGTTCTTGGGTTAGGCTTACTATAAACTAAATGCACAATTATTATTTTTTTTCTATTGTACATAACAAGCTATTTCTTTTAAATCACGTCACTATATCTTATTTTGATAGCCAAGCTAACGCTAATTATTTTCGCATTGAATAATTCAAAAAAGGATTTGATTATCTATATTTGGGATGACCATACATTATACCGTACAATTCAAGAAAGGATTTAATTAAATTATTTATATTTGGAATGATAATGCATTATCATTATCAATTATATGTATAATTTAAGAAAGTATCTATATTGCACAAAAACAAAGAAAAGAATTTAATTATTTATTTTGGGACAATCCTGCATTATACCTTCATAACTTTCTAAATAACGATTCAAATCTAGAATACCGCTATATTATCTTAAAATAATACTATATGAATTACAATACTGCAATAAATTAAATGCAATTCTCAACGCAAATACATTAAAATCTAAGCAAAGAATAAAAGAATACATAAATAATATGCTAAAGAAAACCCTATAAATATATTTACTACTGTATTAAACCATTGACTACAAATTTTTTTTTTGATCCATCTAATTAATTCTACTTGGTTTTCTTGAAATAATTTTTTGCTTTTTACCTAACAAATTTTTTTATGTAATGCCATTATTATTAATTTATTACTGCATATTATTATTTAATTATTTTACAAACCTTTTCTGCTCTTCTGTGAGCTCCAATTGGTTGGCATATTGAAAATGACTTGCCACTGGAAATGTGATGTTAATTGTTATATTATCTAATCCTTTAATACGATTTAGGACCATGGAAGTGTAATTGGAATCCTTCCTATTAGATTCTGCAATCAAGTATTCTACATGTATCTTGAGGCTTCTAGCAACAAAAGTTTCTAGTGCTTTTACTACTGATTGTTGGTTTTTGAAAGTATCATAATCGAGTATATCAATGTGTTTCTTAAGCAGCTTCTCCCACACAGCAACGATGATGAACTCTTCAATATCATGGTTAGAAAGATTGCTAGAATTTAGATAATTTAGCTATATTTATTATGAAGCATTGTTAAATGATAAATGTTATGGGCTTGGTGCTGAGAAATTTATATAAAAAGTTGTGAAAAATTGATTTTTATATTAAAAAATAAAATTCTAAAAAACTATACTGCAAGATTATATTAAGATAACCGCAGTTGTTTCTCAAGTAAAAAATATTTCTAGACTGTTTGAATTAGTTAAGCTCAAAAAAAATTTTTTTTTCAAAAATTGTCAATTTCAACTCTTTACTCAGTATCTAACCCATATATATTTAAAAGCTTACATCTTTTTCTGAATTAAATGATTTACTAATTTTGCAACATCGTCATTGTAAGTGCTACAGAAATTTTCAAATGCTTGTCTTAATTTGGTTGATATTCCATTCCAATCGGGATGTGTTTTAACCATATTGGGAATGATGCTTTTAATTAACAAAGTGCGTGTTCTTTTCGTTGGCATTCTAGTTCGCAAAAATAAAATTTGCAACTGTTCAGAGAGTATTTTTGCTAAGTTTGGTATGCCATTTGAAGAACCCTGATATTTTAATTTGAAAATTACTATACTGCAGATATAAATATAAGTAAAATATAAATAAATTGTAGCAAACCTGACTTGACGTAATAGGCGGCGAAGAACAAATAGAGTTTAATGCCTGTAATACTATGTCTCTACGAGATTCTAGCCACCAAATAAGATGTGCCTCATTTTGAAAAAAAAGGCCGTCATTGACAAACGAAGTTGCCAAACTTGACTGAATGGCTGAATAAGAATTGTTAAATCTTGCATTTTGCATATTTAACATGGCAGTTGAATGAGATGATTCTTGCAAGACAGTTGGATAAGATGGTTCTTTAATAGTGCTTGAATTACGATCTTTACCAATCGATGAAAAAAGGTCATTATCTGAAGAAGATTCATCTTCATCAAGATAACGGTGGTAATGGTAATTTTTATTGGAGGGGCGCCTATCAGATCGCTCAGGAAAAGAATCAATTCTATGTTCAATTGATTGAACCCTTGAAGCAGTAGATTTTCTATTTATTTGTGGTGGTGCTTTATGCTGATATAAACTTGCGTCGAAAACTGAATGTGTTGAGGATCTCATACTGTTATGATTTGGTGAATCATTTTCATTATAAATTTGTCAACTCTGTAGTTCTACTGAAAGTGAGTGACTTGGTTGATGGTGTTCAACATGGACATTAGATTGTAAGTTATCAAATGATATATTCTCTAAATCTACATCAATGTTTTCTTTTTTTAAATAAATAGACAAATAAAATCAAACTTTTGACTATATAATACAATATATACATAAAACTACTTAGAAACCTACCTTTACCCTTCGCCTGATATAATTTTTGTGGTTTTTTAGATTTTAGTAAATCGTTTGAATGTTCAGAAGCATCAGACTTTATTTGCATAACATTAATTTTCTTTTTCACTTTTTGTGTTCTTGTTACTGGTTTGCCTATATAGAAAAAACCATGAATTACAATTTTTTAAAATAGGAATTACTAGTCAGGTGAAGCAAACTGAATAATAAATACTCACGAGAGGATGAAGCTTTTGGTGGCATTTTGATTGATACTTTCAAGTGAAAAATCAAATGAATATATAAAAATAAAAGTATAGAAAAATTTACATTTATATTTGTAATATTTTCATAAAGGTAATTAGGATTATATATTATTTTGCAACCATAAATATATAAGCTTTCTATCTCATCAATTGGGTCTTTTATTTAATGTTTAACAATATAATTTAAGAATTTTTTATATAAGCTTCAATATAAAACATATATTATATATGTTAGACGTGACCCATCGCGATGGTTTGAATTGATTTATGAAATACATTAGCAAGTTGTTTTTTTATAAACTTTATGTAGCTCTATAAAGTTATATAAATATTGTATAAAATTTTATGTAGGTCTGCAAACCAAGTAATTAAGGTAATTACCGATCGATGCACTAAGTAAAAATGTTCTGCATGCTCAAAACCCTTCCCAAACCCCTAGCATTCATATTTAAGTTAAAAATTTTTGCTATTTTACATAATTATACATAGAAATATATAGATTTATATAAATAGATATGTAAATCTACATTAGGTCCATATGAATACTTTCGTATTATTGGCTGTTTAAATCAATTTAATTTTACATTAATTATACAGTTTTAAAGTATTTTTTTAAAAAAATAAAACTACGAAGAGTAAACAAAAAAAGAAGCATATAAAAAGTTTTATTAGTCTCTAAAACCAAAAATGATTTTGATTATTTTTAATAGTTGAGTCCTATACTCCTAATAAAACTTTTTATATGCTTCTTTTTTGTTTATTCTTCGTAGTTTTATTTTTTTTTAAAAAGTACTTTAAACCGTGTAATTAATGTAAAATTAAATTGATTTAAACAGCCAATAATACGAAAGTCTTCCTATGGACATCGGGTTTATAAAGTTTTTGTAAAGCTACATAAAAATTTTACATAATTCTACATAAAAAGTCTATGTAATTCTACATAAAAACAACTTTGTGATGTAACTACTTTACAAAATTTAAACAACTGAAATGGCAATTTCAGGCTGGCGATAACTTTAGGCATAAAAGATCTATTTATTTATTTATTTACTTATTGTTGAATTTAATGAAGCTAAAAGCGGCTTTTATAATTTTAAATTCTTTTTTGAGCTCAAATAGGAAAGATGATGCAATTTAAACAAACATAAATGATTTTTACAGAAATCAACTTTCGGAAAGTAGAGTAAAAACGAATGGCATTTAAATGAAATTGTGACTAGGTATTGGAATGGTTTAGTCAACTAAACATAATAGTTCATTATATAAACTTTTTTAGTCGACTAAACCGATTCCAATCCTTAGTTGTGCCTTCAAACCACCTTACTTATTTATTTATTTATTTTTTAGAATGAATTTTCAGCATTTCAATCTAGTACAATGGATTTGCTGTTACCGTTGAAAAAGTATAAAGTAAAATGATAATTAAGTTGGAGGTATGGTTATAAAAGCAACGTCAAATTAGGATAGGTTCAAATACTCAACACTAATCAAATCAATTTTTTTGCATTCTAGTGTGGTAGGCTTCAATTAAAACGTGGATAGATTTAGTCTGAAGATAAGGTTAATTGGGCTTACTCTAGTAATTTTTGCATTAAATAAGCGTTCATCTTCTTTCTCTTTGAATACTATATAATTTCTTGCTTGCTATTACTACTATACTGGTTTTACTAATACTATTTTTAGCTTTTGCTTTAGGATACTGCGGATGGGTCTCAAAATTTTAATTCAATCGTGAATCGCTATTCAATATGATAGTGGGTATGAGGTCTCATGATCATCATTGAGACGTGGATCAATTTGGTCTTAAGATTAGATTAATTGGGCATTCTCTAGTGATTTTGGCATCAAGTAAGTGTTCACTTTCTTTCTTTTTGAATACTATGTAATTCCTTGTTTGTTATTACTACAATAATGGTTTGCCAATACAGTACTATTTTTAGCTTTCGCTATAGGGTATTCGGATGAGTCTTCATGGACCGCTATTCAATAACACATGTCATGTTAATGGGTCATGGGATCCCGGGATCATAAGAGATTTGAAACATCAGCGTATTGCGAAATCGATCATAGGGACAAGAACTAACAACAATAAAATCAAGAGAATATTTGGAACATGATACTATTTTTGCTTTATTAAGTTCGAAGTTTTTTGAACACCATGAGCCACTTTATTCAAGGCACGTTTTTGAAGCCTTGATATATATTTTTCTTTTGAATTTATTTTATATGCTTAATGTGCACTATCTACTATTTCGTTTATATCAACTTTATATGAGATTCGAACCATCTCACCCACCACATTCCCTTTACATTATATTACAAGCCTAGGGTCATTGTTCTTGTAATTTCCATAGAGCGCTGCATGCATTACCCGCATAATAAACCATGGTGAAAGGTAAATTAGAATTCAAAGAGGATATTTTGAACCGAACTTCAAGCAAAGGTTCATTTTTATTGAATATTACTAGCTTACAAGTCTAGTTTGTACCCGGGCTAAAAAAGGCATTAAAGTTTGCTTTTATGTGCTAAATAAATTGCTAATTATTTAATAATATTATTACAATAATATTATAAGATTTTATTTTAATAATGGCTTTAAATTTTGCTTTAATATACTAAATAAATTGCTAATAAATTAATAAAATTATTACTATATTGTTGCAATATCATTACTTCAACAAAAGCTTTAAACTTTGCTTTCATATGTTAAATAAATTGCTAATAAATTAATATGAACGTTATAATATTATTACAATATTAGTACTTTTTAAAAGCTTAAACTTTGCTATTTTGTAGGCATAAATTATTGCTAGAATTTTAAAAATTTAGATTTAATTTCCTAAATTATTGCTTTAAAAGGTTATAATGTACTAAATAATGCTTATTATTTGCAAATAGTTGCATGTCTTAAAAATTATATTTTTTTGTAAAGTATCAGTAACGATATTAAACTATATTTAAATCTGGCTTTAAATACTGAAGAATTAATTTTATGAAACTAGCGCTAGTAATTAATCATACTTTTCAAAGTCTTAATTAGTTATATACATGCCAAGTATCCAGGTATCATACATGAAGCTAAAAGAGATCAAGCTTTGATGTGTATAAATCAATAGCCCGGATAAATGATTTGCATTCGAATTACCATCTTTGGCTTATCTACGCAGATTTCTGATGATAATTGAATGCTTTATATTTATTCTTGATTGTTTTAATAATATATATATGAGTGCCGTCAAAAGCCCGATTTCAGGTTTTCTTTTGACGGCACTCATATATGATGGCCAAATTACTTGTTTTAATCGTATATATAAAGTGGCCAAATTGCTTATTTTAATAGTAT